GAGGGGCAAACATTTGAGGCCAACTTGGAGAGGTAGAGAAGAAGATGTTTAGGGAGTGGGGGAATTCTCTTTTTTCAAAAAGATTTGAAATAGATACGACAAATGATATAATGATCCATCCCAGAGTTGTTGAGACTATTACATTCTCTCTCTCTTTTAAAAGATTTCTTGGATAGAAACTAGTTTCTTACTAGTTTTCTCATGTGGGCAAACCCCTTGATTTTAACAGTATGGAAGCTGTAGTTATAATATTAGTGTATATAATATTAGTTACTCAGCAGCTCATTAGACTGCCTTTGCCTCCTGATGATGGCCAGTCTCCAATACTTCAGCCTTCCTCTGTGTTTAAGGAATATTCAGATGGTTCGATTCTACCATCGTGTTAGGAAATAGCAGATGTTTTCTGAATAGTGTAGCTTTGGTCAGTAATTGGTCTCCTGTGCAAATTTATCAAAATCTCCATCAAGGTAAAAATGATAAGCTGGACTTCTCTCTGCCCTCTTCTTGGTTCGCTGTGACTCTTACCTCTCCATGGTAGTCAGTGACAGGTTGTACTCAGTGTTGACCTTTCCAATCAGTTACAAATTAAAAGGTTACAGCCAGCGGGGCTTGGTCTGCTCAGTTGTCTTATGACAACCAGACATGCTAAGAACTCATGTCTCATTGTAAATGTAATTTAAAGTTAAGCAAAAAATTAACTACTTGGAATAATTTAAAATAGTCAAGGCCTGCTGGGCTTTCAGAGACCTGGCAGGAGATATAGGTTCTTTTGCCAGAAGACAAGTGACACATCCAGGTGTCACACATTCACTGAGCCCCGAAGCCTTTCTAGGGAACTTGAGCTTAAAGACAATTTGGACAGAAATGGGGTGTGAGTGCCATGGACCAAATATGCCTTCCTTTCCCAACATCAGCCTGATAACCAGATGTGTTTGTCCTCACTGCATCTGGTCTGGCTTAGATAATGAAACCTGTGAGCATTTTCTTTATCATCCAAAAGGGAAGATCTGCTAGCCGCCATTAAGGTGCCCCAAGCTTTGTGAAGATCTTGGTGGTGGCAATGGACTTAGTGGCAAATAGCAGGACAAAAACCATTCAGCCAATCACAGTGCTCCCATCACTCTAAAGTTGTCCCTCAACTGCTAACCAGCAGAATGACACCCTTTCTTACAGAATTCTGTCTTGAGCTCTTGCCTCCCATTGTTCAGTGGCCAGCCTGGCCAGCTCACTCAAAAGTGATGTCATCATCTTTCCCTCATCCTGTTCCTCCCAGGTCCCAGGTCTGTAGTGGGCAGGGTGCACTGTCTGTGCCATGTGTATGTATGTGTGCATGTGTGCGTGCGTGGAGGTATAAGTTTGTGTGTGTGTGTGTGTGTGTGTGTGTGTGTGTGTGTGTGTGCGAGCGAATGTGAGGGAGATGGGGGAGAGACAGAGGGAGAAAAAAAGCCTTCTTTTTGTACCTCATCTGTACCTGTCTTTGTCCCTGGGTGGATCTTTCCAGGGAGGAACCAGGGAGTGAGTAATGAGTAGTTACTAAGGACAATCATGCTTGTCCTAATCCACTGTTTATCTCTGCCTTTGTGTCAAGTTGTAAGCAGCTGTCTTCTTGCTAAATTCTGGCTTTACAAGGAAGAAATCCCAGTGTGTGACGAAACAGTCACCTCCTAAATTCTGTAGGACAAGCAGAGCATACTATGTACTAGAAGAGTAAGTTTTCTCTTGTGTCGCTTCCACTGGAGATCTGCAATGGGGATACTTTGGAGGTGTGAACACTGGCTAGGCTATTAGAAGTTTGGGTCGGGTGAGGAGAGGGCTGTATCTTGGAAGAGTTGGGGAGGAATAATGCATTTTATGTTGGAATACATAGACGGCATGAGCGCAAGTCTCTTCAGTTTCTTTTCTGACCTGTGTGCTGAGGATCCAAACTAGAGAAAACATTTAACAAGGTGCAGTGCTGGGATTAGGATGAATTATGAGAGATTTATGCTGAAGAGATGTGGCATTACTGTTTCACTTGGTAGGAGATGCCTGCTTTTTCCATGGATGACTGCTTGGGAAGAAGCCAGAAGAACTTAGTCACACTGAAAGTCACACTGAGCTGTGTGTGTGTGTGTGTGTGTGTGTGTGTGTGTGTGTGTGTAGATGGGGGGACAACCACACATATGCTCCAGGTATTTCAGGATTCAGTATATAATAAAGTGCCGCTTTACCTTTAAGAATCGTAGCAGTAAGTTCATCGTGAGGTCAAAATCCTATGTCCTAAGTATAGAGATTTATCTTGTGTACACACAGGAATCTGCTGTGACCTGTATTTCCTCAACTCGGTTTTACCACATCGGAACAGATTATGTTTAAAGGCTTCCTCTTGGATTGTTGAGAGAGTTTTAAAAGTTCCTAGTGTATTACACTTTTAACAACATCTCCACCTTCCTGTGGAAAGTGTCAAAGGTTGTAGAGGATACTTAAATCACCTTGTATGTGAGGAGATAGATCTCTCATTCTTTCTTTCTTTTTCTTTTTTAAAATGAGTATGCTGTCACTGACACACCAGAAGAGGGCATCTGATCCCATTCCAGATGGTTGTCAGCCACCATGTGGTTGCTGGGAATCTAACTCAGGTCCTCTGGAAGAACAGTCAGTGCTCTTAACCACTGAGCCATCTCTGCAGCTTCCTCTCATTATTTCAATAAAACCTACTTTCAGGTTTTACTTGCATGTTTCTTTTTAAAGATTAACTCACCCTTTCACTGCTTGCTGATAGACTCTAAATAACTGATGTGATTGTGAGGGCTTTTTATTTTATTATTCTATTATTTGGCTTGCTATAGTAGTAATATACTATTATATAATACATATAGACTAACCAGTTTATAGGATTCTTAGGAAAATGTTTTTTTTTTAAGTTTTATTTGAGAAATAGCCTTTCTTAATTTTAGTTATAGGGTAGTCACATTAATATGTGATGATAATAATAATTAATATTGACATCCATAAATTATATATTTACTGGGTTATCGATTATATTCATTCATTTTAGTTACATATAGGAACACTAATTAACTATGTTGAGGAATTCTTTATGAATTACATAGATTCAATATTAAATGTAAAAATTTCAATGCCTATTTTTGTAATAACTAATCTGAAATTTAGTTGATTTGCCCGAGAAAGTTTGCTGAAATTTCCAAGATATGAATTTATCATTTCTAATTTCTTTGATGAACATTGACAGATTAGTATATTTAATGGTCCCTTCCTGAAGTGAGAGGAGGCATTAATTTGAATTAACACTAAATGTATTCTGTAGTATCATTGAAAAACAATCAGACTATCAGACTTAATGATTATGAATTTAATAGCTTGAGAACACAGTTCTTGATAGATGAGCTGATAATATGGCAGTCTACCTTCCTAATTAACTACCAGGGGCCTATCATCATTCAACAGCTTCTTTAAGGCTAAGTAAACATGATGTTAATTAAACTCACAGATAATGCTAGGGGATGTTGATTGCTGCAACAAGGAAAAGAAACCCATGCAGCCTGACCTTAAGAAATGCTAAGTATGGGATTGTTGGCAGTGATAACACACAGCAAACATCAAGCCAACTGACTCCCCAGTCGGTGTTGCTGAGAGAGATTGGTATAGGTTTGAAATGTGTTCTTTGAAGATTAGGAATAGTCCTTTCAAATTGTCTAGTCTATTTTTCTATTGCTGAGGATTTGAGCCTAGGCTTCTCTTACACACTAGACGAGTGCTTGAATACTGAACTATTTCCCAAGCCCGTTCTGTAGTTTTTTAACAAAATGAAAAAACGAGTCTCACTATGTCTCACAAGCCGGCCTTGAGCTTGCTCTGGACTCCAGGCTGGCCTTATATTTGTGATCCTTCTGCTTTAGTCTTCTGGGTGGCTGTGATGTCTTTTGCATCCTCACCAGGCAGGGTTGAAGATGTATACAAACCCTGAAATATCAAATCCTACGCTCATGCAGACGCCTTCAGGAGCATGGCTGCACAGGGCCTCTTATGAGTTAAGATTCTGCTAATTATGGTCAAGTCTGACAAAGGGAAAGTGGCTTCTGTGTAGTCTCAGTGCCTGGAACACTTGTTGGTGAGGTCGAGATGGAACTGTGAATTCATTACTCTTTCTGGGTACTACAATGATCCAGGAGAATAAATGACTAATGTGTATTAAAGAAGGCAAACAAATGTAAGAAAACATCCACCTCTCCATCACTGGGGTTTGTCTTTGATGCTTGTGCAGTGTTACCTTGAAATTCATCTGATATCTCCTTACTAGCAGAAACAGGAAAAAGTAGGTACCTTGTATCCATATATATGAACCCATTTACCACATATTCAAATACAGCCAATAGCAGATTAGAAGATGCCATCACTGCTGTCTTAAGACACTGGAATCTATTTTCCTGTTTCCTAACATGTTCCTTAATAAGGAATTTGAATGTAGCACACAAGATGAAAAACGAGTGAGCGGCAAGCTGCATTTATCTTAGGCATCGACTGTTTTATTGACAAAAGGCACAAATATGAAATTTGTCTAAATAATTAGACTTTTAATTAGTGCATCACTGTAAGATGAATGCCATTCTGCTTCGTTGCATATGATTCCCTATTAGAAATTTCATGTCAACAAGGATTCTACCTGTGGTTCGCTAATCTGAATCCTTAATTTATCACGTGCGTTTATGGCCTGACACATCCTTGTAGATGCAGATGTGAGCTGAGAGAAGATGTTCTATTGTAGCTCTGCTGTGGTGAGGAATATTGATGATGCTATGCTGTATGAATATATTATGGGTTCTCACATTCAGGGGATAGGTCTCAATTCCATATTAGTGAGCATGCAATAGTTCTCTGTGCTGTTGGCAACAGCATGAGGAGGTCCTGGAGGGTGTGCATCCTTGTTTGTGTCAGCTTTGAATCTGCTCAAATAGTAGTGGTGTGTTTTTCTTCACCTGGTTTTTCTTTCCTTCTGACAGTTGCCGAACAAGCAACCGGAAGAGTTTGATAGGCAATGGCCAGTCTCCAGCATTGCCTAGACCACACTCACCTCTCTCTGCTCATGCAGGTAACTGACGACTCTCTTGTTTCTTTGTCTTTTAAAAGCAAGCAATCTAGACCTTTTGAGACCTACGTGTGTTTTTTATACCTGCCTTGATTTCCCTATTATGGTACTATTAAGTTATTCTTTCTGAGATAACAGATTACATTTTTTTTTGTATGTCAAGCTCTCTGTAATTAATTTGTTTTCTGTTGCTAAATTTTGTTACATTGTCAGACCCATTTGTCCATTCAGGATATCTTTAGGGGCTTCAAACACAGCAGTATGAAGAAGAAAAGTGTTCAGAAAGATTCAGCCTGGTCCCCCTAAAACTAAGCATTATGGATATGTTAAAATAGCTGGTTGTTGTCTAGACCAATGATTCTCAACCTTCCTAATGCTGTGACCCTTTATTATAGTTCCTGATGTTGTGGTGACCCCAACCATAAAATTACTTTGCTGCTACTACTTAACTGTCATTTTGCTACTCTTATGTACTGCAACGTAACTATCTGACATACAGGATACCTGATATGCAACTTCTAAAGGGGTTGCAACCAACAGGTTGAGAAATCCTGGTCTAGATCATGAAGATGCAGGAGCGGCCAGAAGTTTGAAGTCCTTGTAGAATTATAAGGATGAGAAACACTAAAGCTATTCAGTGGAAACTGCTTTCTATGCCTTTTATTTCAATTCTCTGACAAAAGTAGTGTATATGGTGGGGAGGCCACTTTTAACAGAAAAGTCAGGAAGAGTTTCAATAAACCTCTTGGCCAAGATGTTGAAAATAGGTAAGATTTGGGCAGGGTAGATAGCAAAGGGATAAAAGAAAGAACTCTCGTTTGGAATAGTCATGCTTGATAAGTGCTAAAGAAACAGGAAAAGTGGGCACCTTGTGCCCACTTATAGTAATCGATTTCTAGCTACACCAGTGGCTCAGTCTGCTTGAGAGAAGATATTAACTCGTATTCTAATACACGGGTCCATTTTTATTAATCTGGAACATGTCCCTAATGAGGAATAAAGTTAGTATTCAAGATGAAAACTGAATGATTGGCGAGACAGAGAAATGGAAAGGCAGGCGAAGGCTGAGGAGTAGAAAGGTTTTGCCTACCTCTTTGGGATGTGGAAGAAGATCTGGGCTGTAGGAGGTGTGTATGGCTCAGGACAGATTCCTGAATGAGGTGGTAGCCCTGCTTCCATGGCTCCCAGTGGAAACTCTAAAGTGATACCAATGGAGCCTCAGACGATCTTGCTTTCAAAGCTAAGTGTCTGGCTGTCTAGCAGGCAGTCCTTGGCTACAGAGGTATTTGCAGTCCATGATGGGTAGAAGATGATGCTTTGGAATGACCAAAATTAAAAGGTGTCAAAGGGTCTGTGGGCAGCAGTGGCACCTGATGACCCAGGCTTAACCTCTGCTACACACATGGTCGGAAAGACACAGTTTTCACTGTTTGCCCTCTGACCTCAGCAGATGCTAGGTTGCACCCATATACTGTACACAAGCATGCACATACACACTAAATAAATAAATGTAAAAATTAGAACTTTAATGGTGACTCAGTGAAAAGGTACAAGAAAATTATAAAGTAGTAAAAAGGACTGCAGTGTTCAGAAATGTCTCCTCCAGAGCTAGCGCTGGAGAAGGGGTGTGTACACAGGAAGGCGGTTAAACTCCAGCCGTGACACCCTTCATCCTTGCTTGGCATTTCAAGCAGCCTGAAGTTTAATCGGTTGGGAAATGGATAAATGAACTTTGATCCAGTCACGCAGAGAAAACAAATTAACTAGCTAGCCCTGCACATGTCTACATGGATGAAACTCAAATATAGTGTTGGGCAACAAAGGCAAATTGCAAAAGAATGTTGCTTAGCCATTCAGCCATTCACATGAAATTAATGTGGTGCTATGGGTATTGTTTCGTTTACACACACAGACACACACACACACAAGACGTATGTATGCCATTTTTTCCTTAATTATTACTAGAACTAAAATGTATCTATATACATGACATATATATGATATTATATATTACCTACTATATATATATTAGTGAGAGATGGGAGAAATAGTTTATATTTTTAATTGAAAATACATTTTTTCATACAGTGTTTATGGTTTTCCTTTCCTTATTTCCTCCCACATTCTTCCTACCCTTTCAACTTCATATTTCTCTCTTTCTCTCTTTAGAAAATATGCAGGCAAATAAACAAAACGAACCAGAATAAACAACACAAAAGCACGTAAGAAAACAAAGAAAAAATACCAAAAGTGCATATATGTGTGCATGTGCACACACACACAGACACACACACAGCATAAAGACTCAAAATCTACTTTATATGTAAACTGTAGTATACAAACAAAAGGCTAGTAAGGTAAAAAAAAAAAATGACCAAACAAGGCAATATGAGACCAAAAAATCTCCAAAATCACCAATGAGTTCATTTTGTGTCTGTCATCTACTGCTGAGCATGGGGTCTGCCCTTAAGAATTCCCAGGGAGACTTCATTTAGGAAACTGATTTTTCCTTTGCAGGTAAATGTCAGTTTGAGATAGCTTGTTGGTTAGGGGTGGGAGCAAGTGTCTCCCGCTCTTGGTGCTGAGACTTTAAGTGTCTTAGACCTGTGCAGGCCTTGTGCATGCAGCCACAGTCTTTATGAGTTTGTATATGTGGCTGTCTTGTTGTGTCTAGAAGACAGTTTTCATGGTGTAATGCACCCCTTTCGGCTTTCACAGGCTCCCCACCTCCTCCTCTTCCACATCGTTCTTGAGCTCTGTGGGGAGGGATTGATGAAGAAATTCCATTTGGAACTGAAGGTTTTACCTGATAGTGAGAGATGTCTAGTTGGAGGTTTGTCTTCCCCCATTATTTGGTGACTCTAGTTAGAGGAAAGAGAATAAATTTAAGGACCAGTTTTATGATAGTTACTTTAAAGAGGTGTGAGGGACATATAGGACACATATTAAAAAAAAGAGAAAGAGCGAGAGCGAGAGCGAGAGAGAGAGAGAGAGAGAGAGAGAGAGAGAGCGTGAAGCTATTGATAATTTTACTTAATTCCAAAGCTATGTAATGAGTAAGCATGCAATTATTAAAATTATTACTCTCTGTATACATATATATATTTTTTTCCTTTGAGACAAGATCTCACTATGTAACACTGACTGGCCTAGAACCTACTCTGTGGACCAGGCTATCCTTGAACTCACAGAAATCTATCTGCTCTGACTCCAGAGTGCAGGAATTTAAAGTGTGTGCTATCACACCCAGATGGATTGAACATTTTTTTTTGTTATGTCATTGTCATGATAGTTGAGGCCTACAGACAGTCACTCAAGAACAGACTCTGTAGGGCCTGGAACTGAGTGTATTAAACCCTTCTGTTTTTCTGAGGTCTACCCCAGGGCCTGGCAGTCTTACTAAGTGCTAAGTGGAAGATAGATTCTGTTAAGTATAACTCAACAGTGATTTTAAGTGTGTGACCTTCCTCCTCTCTGTGGTGTTTGATGTCCATTTCCCAACATTTATGTGTCTGTTGATTAGGTTTTTATTGCCTTGGTTTTCTTTAGCTCTAATATTGAGAAGAGAGAGTATGTGGTTAAGGCTGTAATGATCCTTTAATTGTTTATTCCTCTTCTTCTTTTTTTTTTTGGTTTTTCCAAGACAGGATTTCTTTGTGTAGTCCTGGCTGTCCTGGAACTCACTCTGTAGACCAGGCTGGCCTCGAACTCAGAAATCTGCCTGCCTCTGCCTCCCAAGTGCTGGGATAATAGGCGTGTTCCACCACTACCTGGCTATTCCCCTTCTATATTCCCTTAGCTTGATTTTTTAAAAAAAATCTGCATTGGTTATAGAATGTAATCTGAGGGTTCTGAGCAAGGAGTGGTGTGTTGTTCAGGGTTTGAGTGCTTTTCTTTGTTACTGAGCCAGGTTGTTACTCAGAGGAGTAACATCTGTCAGATCTTTCTTTCTTTCTTTTTCTTTCTTTCTTTCTTTCTTTCTCTCTCTCTCTCTTTCTTTCTTTCTTTCTTTCTTTCTCTCTCTTTCTTTCTTTTTTCTCTCTTTCTTTCTTTTTTTCTCTCTCTTTCTTTCTTTCTTTCTTTCTTTCTTTCTTTCTTTCTTTCTTTTTTGTGAGAAGTGGCATTTATCACAACCTGTCAGATCCCTGTTTCTGTGTAGTAAAAATGAAGAAGATGTAAATGAAGAGAAGGCCAGTTCGTCATGGTGTCCTGCTAGTGTGTGCCTTGTCACTTCCCATGGCTTACTCTTCTATCTTGTTGCCTGTATTTGATCCAGGGTGCTTGGTGAGGCTGATCAGATGCCACCATGAAAACAGATAGCAAAGCTGCCATCGCTCAGGTGCTATTAGCCTATCATCCAGAGCCGCACCCACTTTGTTTTCCTAAGGGAGGGGAGTGTAAACTGACCACTGGCATAGGAGTCTTATAAATGCATCCAGTGCTGATTATCTCCATGAATTGGTTATGTCGGGAACATTCAGCAGAAGAGAGGCATTCACAGGATGTTCTGGGGAGCCCAGAGGTTCCTGAAAGAACACGGAACAGGACAGCCATTTAAAAGCAAGAAAAGTGAAAAATGCCAGGCTCCCAGTTCCAGGAAGATTCAAAGCATTAAGGCTCATTCAGAACTTCCAGTGGAAGACACTGGGACATATTTCCTGACATGAAAAATTCTGTGTATTAAGAGTGAAAAGAAATCTAAGTGTGGAATATATATTTGTCTATGAGTAATTGCCCACCTGATGGCTTTAATGTACAAAGGGCTGGCATAGATGGGTGGCAAGGGGTGAGTGGGCGGATAGGAAATGGTGTAAATGGCCTATCATGAGGGAGGGGAGCCATCAAAAAAATTGACTTGTAACGTGATTGACATCCTGGAACAACTTGAGCCAAAAGAGTGAGATGGTATCATTTACCTGGAGTAGGCTGCAGTACTTTATTTGTTGAATCCAGTAACAGGGAAGATAGGGGAAAACAGCCCCTTTTTCACACTGCAGAAGATG